CCCACAGCTGCATGAGAGTGTGAAGTCTCCTACTCCCTTTGAAATGGATTCCTTCCTATACGCAGGCTCTGGAGGGTATCGCCCTCTATACTTCCTAGCACACATGGGCTAGTGACCCAGGCTGATAACCAGGAGCCAGGGATTCTCTCAGAACGTGGAGCTGCTCATTTCCATCTTTAAATAGCTACCTCTGGGGGACTGAAAGTACTGGTCAATTCCCAAAAGGCAGCTCTCAGTGCAGTACCCGGGGCTCTGGGGCAGGGCCAAGGACAAGGAGATGCTCCCCCCACTCAGTAATCCTCAGAGAGTAGCAGTGGGGCTGTTCAGGCAGGAGAAGCAAACGAATTCTGCGGGGGGGCCCCAAGGAGGCGATGACGGTAACTCATACTCCGTCAAGATGCCACACCAAGAGGTGTCCCCAAGGTCTGCGGATGCCATCCTGCGCCAGCCAGGCAGGCTCACAGCCGAGCGCGTGGTAGAGCCTGGAGCAGCTTTTGGGAGAAGTCAGTGCAACTCTCAGCCCCTCCATATCAGCCGGGGGTGGGGGGTGCCTGAAGCAGACTCCAGGCTGACCCTCCAACGTCCCCTGTGGCAGCTGGATCAGTTCAGAGTCCCTCAACAGCTTGGGGGTTTGTTCTCAGACTCTCTCGCACCTGCAGAGCCCAGCAGGGTCCCACGTACCCACCTGGGCATTCTGCAGGATATTGTTGACCAGCACAACTCGGCGGCGGGCATTCAGCAGCTTCTTCACGTATGGGTCCAAGTCGAGCGCAACCTTCTGGTCCTCGTTGATCCTGCAAAGCTCTGAGGGAAGGGATACTGAACTGCCAGTGGGAACCCCCCGTCCCCAAACCCCACCTGAATCAGCCCCACACGGAACACAGCAGGCCCTTCCTGCTACTTCACAGCCAGAGAATGGCCCTGCTAAGCCAAATCTGGGCCCAGGGCAGGACTGGCCCTGCAATCGGTTTCCCCGGGCTACAGCCAGCCAGCCTGAGCAATGGGGCTCCCATCCAGCGGGGCTTCCCTAGGGAAGCGTGTCCCCTGTCCAACACCTGTTGCCATTAGTTACCTTCCCTGACATTCAGCCTGGCTTCCTGTGTTCGGTGCCACCCCGCACTGCGTTTCTGCTTCCCCTACGTGCCCCACTCTGGCCAAACCACCCCCCTTGGGGATTGCAACCCCCTTCAGGCCGCTCAGCCGGCACCGTGCCCAGCCAGCCCCACTGCTGTTCCCTGGGCACCGGGCTGGGTGCTGCCCTGTGGCCTCACCTGTGGCCAGGTTATCGATGTGCTCCCGAAGCTCCACCTGGCTCTCCCTGGGGAAGCACAAAGGCAACCAGTCAGCGCTGCTCCCGAGAGGGGGCTGCCCCCCTGGCCCTGGTCCACCAAGGGGGAGCCAGAAACAACCTCCCAGTGAGGCCTGCACAGACCCATCCCTGGGGAGCCTCTGGGTGACCCCCAGCCTGGGCAACACCCCCAGCACCAGGCTCAGCCCCTGGGCCCCCAACACCATCCGGCACTGAGCTCAGCTCGGCTGATGGGGTGAGATCCCAGCTGTGGCTAGCCTACCCTCAGCCCCCGCCCCGGGCCCCAGCCCTCTGCCCCCCCAGGCACCTCCCTTCATCCAACCCCTCCCCGCCCCCCAGGCACCCCCCATCATCCAGCCCCCCAACCCCTCCCCTCCCTGGCCCCAGCCCCCTCCCACCCCCCCAGGCACCTCCCCTCATCCAGCCCCCCCAGCCCCTCCCGCCCCCCCAGGCACCTCCTGTCATCCAGCCCCCCAACCCCTCCCTCCTCCTCCCCGCACCTCTCCCCTCCCTGGCCCCAGCCCCCTCCCGCCCCCCCAGGCACCTCCCATCATCCAGCCCCCCAACCCCTCCCCCCTCCCTGGCCCCAGCCCCTTCCCGCCCCCCCAGGCACCTCCCGTCATCCAGCCCCCCAACCGCTCCCTCCTCCCTGTACCTCTCCCCTCCCTGGCCCCAGGCACCTCCCCTCATCCAGCCCCCCAACCCCCCTCCCTCCTCCCCCCACACCTCTCCCCTCCCTGGCCCCAGCCCCCTCGCGCCCCCCCAGGCACCTCCCGTCATCCAGCCCCCCCACGCCCCCCAGGCACCTCCCGTCATCCAGCCCCCCAACCCCTCCCTCCTCCCCCCACACCTCTCCCCTCCCTGGCCCGGGCCCTGGCCCCAGCCCCTTCCCGCCCCCCCCAGGCACCTTCCGTCATCCAGCCCCCCAACCCCTCCCTCCTCCCCCACACCTCTCCCTCCCTGGCCCCAGCCCCTTCCCGCCCCCCCAGGCACCTCCCCTCATCCAGCCCCCCCACGTCCCCCCAGGCACCTCCCCTCATCCAGCCCCCCAACCCCTCCCTGGCCCCAGCCCCTTCCCGCCCCCCAGGCACCTCCCCTCATCCAGCCCCCCCGGCTCCAGCCCCTTCCCGCCCCCCCCCCCCCAGGCACCTCCCCTCATCCAGTGCCCCAGCGCCCCCCGGCCGCTCCCCCCAAGAGGCACCTGACGGCGTGCACGTGCGCGTCGAGGTGGCGCGCGGCCGGGCGCAGGAATTCCAGCAGCCCCTCGGCGAAGAGGTCGCGCGCCCCGGGCCCCGGGGTCCCCGCGCCAGGCCCCAGCAGCGCCGCCATCGCCCCGCCCGCCCGCCGCCGCGCAGCCTGCCGGGAAGCGGCGTGCCCGCGCAGAGCCCGCCGGGAAATGCAGTCCCGGGGCTGTGTCCCCGTCGCAAAGGCCTCTGGGAAATGCAGTCCGGGGCTGTGTCCCCGTCGCAAAGGCCTCTGGGAAATGTAGTTCCCCAGGGGGCAGAACTCACAGCCCAGATACTCCTCAGTCATGGGGGGAGGGCGACCCCCCCCCGCAGCCAGAGCCAGCGCTGCCCCCCTGGGTAGGAGCTCCCCCCGCCCCCCAGTGCAGCGCTGAGCACACAGGGCATCCTCCCCAGGCCCCCCTGGGGTTCCCTACCAGGTTTCCCTACTGGCGGTGGGGGGCGGCATTAGCCCCCCAGGGCCCAGGGCAGAAAGCCGAAGCCAAGCCCCTGAGCAGCTTAGCATGGCCCCGGGGCCCCCTTAGGGCTGCCGACTTTCTACCAGAATGAAACCGAACACCCCTGCCCCGCCCCGCCCCCAAGGCCCCCGTCACTAACTCTCCCCCCCTCACTTTCACTGGGCTGGGGCAGGGGGCGAGGGCTCCGGCTGGGAGTGTGGGCCCTGGGGTGGGGCCAGGGAGGAGGGGTTTGGAGTGGAGGAGGGGGCTCAGGAGGTTTGGGTGCTGGATCATAGCTGGGGTTGGGATGTGGGTGTTCGGGGTGCGGGCCCCAGCTAGGCAGTGCTTACTTCAGGCAGTTCCTGGTGGGCGACACAGTGGAGCTGAGGCAGGCTCCCTGCCTGCCCTGGTTCCCCACGGTTCCTGGAAGCGGCCGGCATGTCCAGCTCCTAGGCATAGGTGCAGCCAGGAGGCTCTGCGCACTGCCCTTGCCCGCAGGCACCACCCCCACAGTGCTGATTGGCCGTGTTCCCGGCCAATGGGAGCTGCGCAGCCAGCGCTCAGGGTGGGGTCAGCGCACAGACCCCCATGGTTGCCCCTGCACCTAGGAGCCGGACATGCTGTCCGCTTCTGGGAACCGCTCACAGGCATGGAGCCTGCCTTAGCCCTGCTGCGCTGCCAACTGGACTTTTAACGGCCCGCTGGCAACCCTAGGCCCCCTGCTTGCTACCTCCTAATGCTGGCCCTGCCTTTTATATGCAGGAAAAGTTGTGGCACAGGTGGGTTGTGCAGTTTTTATAGCATGTTGAGTGGGCGGGGGGCTAGGCAAGGAACCATAGCTGCCCGTGGGGCGCTGATGCACTAGCCGCCTGATCACATGCAGCACGGCCCCCAGCAGCTGTTGGGGGACAGGCCGGGGGTGTGCGCAGCCGGCAGGGCTCCTCCCGGCTGGGAGAGAGGCACAAACCTCCTGTGGCTGGAGGAGGGAAAACATTTCTGGAGCCTCTTCCCCAGGGGTTTTAAAGGCCTCGCGTCCCTGCTCCTGCCAGCTGGCCTTGTGCAGCACTGGCTGGCTCCAGGGCACGGCTGGTGCCGCTTTCCTTGCCCCAGGGCTGATCTGCCTGTTGGGGGCCATCCTCGGGCAGGAGTCAGAGACGCCTTCAGGCCCGGCAGCCTCCTTGCCTGGCCCCGCTGCAATATTTGCAGGCTGCATGGAATTGGGGAGCTTCCTGCAAACTGCACAGAGCCAGTCCACAGCTCCAGCCCCCAACAGACCAGCCGCATGGCCCAGGGCTCTATACGCATCTGTCATGAGAGGACTGTGGATTCGGCCCAGCCTGGGGTCCGTCCTGTCAGACCCACTCTGCAGCCAAGCAGGACTGAAGGTAGACAGAGCAATGGCAGCCAGGGGCAGGAAGGGGGTGGCAGGTTTCAGGAGCCTGGCTCGCTCTGTGCTGCTGAGGAAAGGAGGCCACTGGCTGACATAGCAGAGTTAGCACAATTAGCCTTTGAAACTCTCTGCCACAAGCTCTCATTTAGGCCAAGGACTCAACTGGATGCAGACAGTTTCATGGAGAACAGAAATATCCAGTTACACAAAATAACCCAGAGAAAAGCTCCTGTCTCAGGGTGTGAACCTGGCTCCAGCAGGTGACCCCACAGGGCAGGGGTCCTGCACTTCCCCCAACCAGCCGCTGGCACGGACAGGACACCAGGGCAGACGGCCCTAGGCTCTGCTCTGCTCCCATGGGACTGAGCCCAGGAATGGGACCCAGGCATCCTGTCTCCCTCTCTGCAGCATGACCCGAATACCTCGCCTCCCTGCCCAGCTAGGCCGTGGCTCACTGGGAGCGGGGAGAGGGTGGTGGAGCAGCTGCTGGGACAGAGCTTCAAGAACAGAAAGCACCAGGTAACCAGGTCTGAGTCGCGGCCTCTGCTGCAGGGAAAGAAACCAGCTTATCTCCCCCTCCCACGCCCCAGCGCGCCCTGGCGGGAAGGAGCAGACATGAGACCAGTGCAAAAAACCCAGATCATTTAAATAACGATTAAAAAAGCCACATGAAGTGTCTGAATTCCAGCTCATGGAGGGCCCAGTGCATGGGAGGAAATCGGACCACTTACCCGGCTCCTTCCCCGAGCCTGGCCCGGGAGTGAGACGCTCCCCATGGTGCAAACCCAGCCGACCTCTGGCGCTCCTGGGAACGGCAGAGCCAATAAGCTGCACCTACAGAGCTGGCCACAACCATGTTCCCTGCAGCGGGCGAAGGGGGCCAGGCCCTGGCAGTGCCATGCTGGGATTTTTGGTACTTTTAGTTAGTTGTGGGGCACTACCAAATTCACAGTCCATTTTGGTCAATTTCACGGTTATAGGACTTAAAAAACCATCAATTTAATGATTTCAGCTATTTAAATCTGAAATTTCAGGGTGTTGTCATTGTCGGGGTCCTGACCCAAACAGGAGTTGCGGGGGAGGGGGTTGCAAGGTTATTGTAGGGGGGTCGCAGTACTGTCACCCCGACTTCTGCGCTGCTGCCTGCAGGGCTGGGCCCTGGGTCAGCAGCTGCCGCTCTCCAGCCGCAACCCCCCCCACGATAACCTTGCGACGCCCCCCCGCAACTCCTGTTTGGGTCAGGACCCCATTTGAGAGACGCTGGTCTCCTCTGTGAAATCTGTATCTTCAGGGTAAAAGCACACAAAAGACCCAACTTCATGGGGGGAGACCAGATTTCACGGCCCGTGACGCGTTTTTCATGGCTGTGAATTTGGTAGGGCCCTAGTTATTTGGCTTTTTATTACAAATTAAATTAAACCACCCCAAGAAGCGAGTGCGACCGGGAGGGGTTTCATGGGGAGGGAGAGTGGCCGCCCACAACCCGCTCCCCGCGGGGCACCGCCTGGCCGAGTGCTGGGCAAAGGGGTGAGATGAAGCGGAGGGGTGGGGTGGGTGGATGGAGCGGGGAAGGGGAGGATAAAACGTCACCGGCTCCTCGCCTCCTAGATCACAGAGATGGAAGAGACCCAGCAGGCTAGACAGTCCCTGGCCTGTCGGCGTGCCCACGCCCCCAGGTGCCACGTCTCCAGGGCGAGCCGTGGCAGAGCCCAGAGGGGACCAGCAGATCGGGGCAGTTGCTCCCTTGTTAAGAGTCTCGACAGAGCCCAGAGACTCCCTGAAGCCGGGGCTGGCTTGCTTTGGCTCCGGGGTGGCCAGCCGGTTCAAGGCTCAGTGGGAGGGGCAGAATCGTGGGGGAGGGGCGAGGCCTGGCACCCCACATGGTAAGATAAGGCCCCACGGACGCTCATTAACTGAAGGCAGTGCCGGCCCTTTACGTCAGAGGCTGGAAGCCACCGTCCCGCCAGCCCCGCTAGTTGACGGGCCCCGGGTCGGCCATGGGCATGGTGTGCAGCACCTCGTCCAGCAGCTGCAGGGCCCGGTGCAGGTGCACCTCGATCCAGCAGGGGGTGTGCTTGATGCTCTGGCGGGGGTAGTCTGGCCCCCAGCCCTTGACGAAGCTCAGACGCAGGATGCAGAGACGCCGGAGGTCGTCCACGCCGATCCCGGCGGCAGCGGAGAGGCCTGGGGAGGGGGCAAAGGAGAGACAGGCAGGGCCGGAGTGCGGGGGACTCGGGCCCCTCCCCTACCGCTGGGACGTACCCGGGGGTCTTGGCTCCCAGCCATCAGACCCCACTCCCCTCCCAGAGCTGGGAAGAGAACCCAGGAGTCCTGGCTCCCAGCCCCGCCCCGCTCTCACCCATCAGACCCCACTCCCCTCCCAGAGCTGGGAAGAGAACCCAGGAGTCCTGGCTCCCAGCCCCGCCCCGCCCCGCTCTCACCCGTCAGACCCCACTCCCCTCCCAGAGCTGGGAAGAGAACCCAGGAGTCCTGGCTCCCAGCCCCGCCCCGCTCTCACCCGTCAGACCCCACTCCCTCCCAGAGCTGGGAAGAGAACCCAGGAGTCCTGGCTCCCAGCCCTGCCCCACTCTCACCCGTCAGACCCCACTCCCCTCCCAGAGCTGGGAAGAGAACCCAGGAGTCCTGGCTCCCAGCCCCGCCCGCTCTCACCCATCAGCCCCACCCCCCCCGGGAACCCAGGAGCCTGGCTCCCCCCCCCCCCTCTCACCCGTCAGACCCCACTCCCCTCCCAGAGCTGGGAAGAGAACCCAGGAGTCCTGGCTCCCAGCCCCGCTCTCACCCGTCAGACCCCACTCCCCTCCCAGAGCTGGGAAGAGAACCCAGGAGTCCTGGCTCCCAGCCCCGCCCTCCACTACCCACTAGGCCCCCAGCTGCTCCCTTGTTCCCAGTGGCACCTCCCAGACCCATGGCCACGCAGCCCCCCGCCCGCTCTACCCCCGGCACACCCAACTGCCAGACCCGCCCCCAGTCTGGACCGGGCCCCAGCCACTTACTAACAGCCGGCGCGATGCCGCCCACGGAGCCAGGCCCCGGGATGTTCCCCGCGACCGCCGCGGCCTGGGCCGTGGCCGCTGCTTGGGCCGTGGCCGCCTGCTGCTGCATCTGGCGGTGGCAATGCCGCAGGTCGAACACCTGGGGGAGCGAGAACGTCAGCGCCGGGCGGGGGGGGGGAGCTGGATGCGGCAGAGCCCGGCGTGGCCAAAGGCTCTGTGGGCGCCCAGCTGCCGGGCAGCGCCCCCCCCGTACCTTGATGTAGGCGCCGGGATAGATCTTGTGCACGGCGTCGCCCGGGGCGCGCCCGGCCTCCCGGTCCAGGTAGTAGCTCTGCACGAAGACGGCGTGGTCGCTCAGGCAGCGCATCCAGACGTCGCCCTCGCCCCGGCACTCCAGCTGCACCCCCTTGCCGATGTGCAGCCTGCGGCACAGGAAGCCTGGCTCAGCCCGGCACCCGGGGCGGGGCGGGGGGCCCCGCCCTGCCCCCGCCCTGCCCCCGCCTCCCCCTCACCTGGCCCGCTCGCTGGCGTCCGTGCGGTGCACGTTGGAGAGCTGCCCCAGGCAGAAGCGGTCGCCCCCCGAGGGGTCCACGTAGCCGTCCACCGTCACCACGGGGCAGCTGGACGGCACCTTGAAGATCTCCCCGACCTGCACGTCCATCTCGAAGTAGGCGATGGAGCACCAGAACTCCGGACCTGCGGGGGGCAAAGGTCACGCAGGCGGGAGGCCTGGGGGGGGGCGGGGGGGCAGGCGGGAGGCCTGGGGGGGGGGCGGGGGGGATCCGTGGCTGCGTCACTTACCCGGGTGGCTGGAGACGGGCTGCTGGTAGGGGGCCGCGTTATGGTGCGGGGGCCCTGGGGGGGACAGAGAAGGGCTCGGTCAGGCAGGGCAGACAGGAGGGCAGGGGGAGCGGAGGCAGCTGGGGCTGGTCGGGGGGCAGGGCCTGAGCCTTGGTGCCGGGTTCCAGCCCCAGCAGGGCGCGTAGGTAACAGGCAGGCGAAGGGCTCTGCCCCTCCCCTTCGCTCCCTCCTCCCCAGGCGTGGCTGCGTTTCTCTCGCCGGGGGGGCTATGGAAATAGGGAGCGATTGGCTGCCGTGGACCGGGGCCAGGCTCACCCCCCCCCCCCGTGCCCGCCCCCCAGCGCTCTGCCCCCTGCCCGACGTACAGTAGTGGTTGGGGTGATGGAGCGGGGGCTGCGGGTGGCTCCGTCCGTTCTGCTGCGGCGGTGGTGGAGGGGGCGGCGGGGGGGTGGGCTGTTGGCCCCCCAGGCTGGGGGTGTAGACCGCGGTGCTGCTGCCCGTCCAGCTGGCTGTCTTGCCTGAGAAGGGGGCAGAGAGTGAGGACCCCGCCCCATGCAGGAGAGCCCAATGCCCTGCCCCCCCCGCCCAGGGACACCCCCCCTCTGTGCTGCACCCCTGAGATGGGGGAGGAATTTGGGGCATGCCCGTGCCAGGCCCTTTCCAGCGATTCCTCTGCTGGCTGTGGGCAGTTCTGGGGTGGCCCCCCACCTCTGCCGACTGGAGTCAGCCAGCTGGTCCCCCTGCGCTGCGGCCAACCTGGGGGAGTTTGCGTGGAGCCCGGTACTCACTGTGGTAGGACTGCTTGGGGGGCATGGGGTAGCCGTTCTGCTGCGAGGCTGGTGGGGCCGGGGGCGGGGTGGGTGCCACGGGCTGGCGCGGGGAGGCGATCTGCTGCAGTCCCTCGCCGTGTGCCATGGACAGCAGGGGGCCCCCGGAGGCCACTGCTGGGGAGGCAGGGGGAGAGAGACACCGATCACCCGGCTGCCGTCCCCCCAAACCTGCCCTAGTCCGCCCGAGACGGGGCCCCGGGGGGCAAGGGCAAACAGCCCCCCCGCCTCATTCTCAGACTCGCCCCCCAATCCAGCCTGAGTGCCACCCACTGGGCAGGGGACCCCATCACGGCCCTTCTGGGGTCTGTGCTTTTAACGCAGGGGGTGGGGGGCGCTTGGGACGCCCTCCGGGCTCCAGGCCAGTCCAGAGACAGAATCTGCTCCTCCCCACACTCCCCCCCGGCCCCCCAGCAGCTCCCTCCCAGCCCAGGGGCTCTCCCCGCCCTCCACAGAAGGGCCTGGCGCTGTACTCACCCGGGGGTGACATGGTCAGGGTGGGGTAGATGTTTACAGGGGCACGGGGGGGCTCGGGCAGCTGGAGGGGGGGCAGCGGCTGGCAGTAGGACTCAGCGGGGGGCATCCCCCGGGGTGGGTGCTTGGCCCCCGGGCCATGGTCGCTGGCGGGGGAGCCCAGCCCCGTGGGCACCTCCATCTGGACACAGTCATGGACAAACTCCTCCTTCACCAGGCGGGCAGGGGGTGCTGCAGTGGGGGGGGAGAAACCATGGGGTCACTGCCTGCAGGGCTGGGGGTGACTGCCATCACGGGGCCCCCACAGCGTTACAAGGACGCGCAGCTCTCCACACACCCTGGGGCTCTGCTCCCTCCCCCCCCCCGGGGCCCTGCTCCCCCCGGTGTCACAGGGACCCCCAGCTCCACACCGCTGGGGCTCTGCCCTCCCCATGTCATAGGGGCCCCCCAGGCCCCCCCAGGAGAGACGCAGCCAGGGGTGGCATGTGGGGAGGCTCTGCAGGGACCTCCCAGCCCCCCTGGCAGTGACGGCCCCGGCTCAGCCCCACACCAGGCCCCTCACCTGTGTTCTGGATGCTCAGACCTGCAGCAGAGAGAGAAGGGCGCATTAGCCAGGTGTCGGGGGGAAGCCCGTGCACGACTTGGGGGCCAGCTGTGAACGGCCTGCCCCAGTGCAAGGGGCACGCGCTGCTCCAGGCCCTGTGGTGCCGTTCCCCCGGCTCCCTCCGCGTGGTCGGGTGGGGGCACCATGCACCCCAGCAGCACCGTGGGCTCCCACACTGCCAGAGCCCCCCACACCTGGCTCCCGGCTCCCCAGAGGGCTTGACATGAAAGGGGGGGATGTTCCCCCCAACCTCTGGGAGCTGCGCCACCCCCAACCCTGATACCCAGGTACCGAGAAGTCCCTGCCATGCCCACCCCGGACAGGCCCAGCCAGCCCGGTGCCCCCTGGCCCTGCATCCCCAGGGGCACGGGCTCCGTGCCAGGCCCCGCACCCAGCCACTCACCCAGGCCTGGCGACACCACGCGCTCGTAGTGGTAAGGGTTCACGCAGACGCTGTCGTACTTGAGGTCGAAGGCGAACTGGCAGAACTTGACGTGCTTCAGCTCGTTCTTGTGCAGGTCGGGCCAGCGCCAGAGCCGGGCGTAGATCACATGGGGGAAGCCCTTCCGGCCGGCCACCTGGGTGGAGAGCCGGGGAGCCGGGCAGCCAGGACTCCTGGGTTCTAACCCAGCTCGGGGAGGGGGGTCTGGGGGTTAGGAGAGAGGGGCTGGGAGCCAGGACTCCTGGGATCTAACCTAGCTCTGGGAGGGGAGAGGGGTCTGGGGTGGGGGTTAGAGCAGCGGGGGCTGGGAGCCAGGACTCCTGGGTTCTATCCCTGGCTCTGGGAGGGGAGTGGGGTCTGGGGTGGGGGGTTAGAGCAGCGGGGGCTGGGAGCCAGGACTCCTGGGATCTAACCTAGCTCTGGGAGGGGAGAGGGGTCTGGGGTGGGGGGTTAGAGCAGCGGGGGCTGGGAGCCAGGACTCCTGGGTTCTATCCCTGGCTCTGGGAGGGGAGAGGGGTCTGGGGTGGGGGTTAGAGCAAAGGGGGCTGGGAGCCAGGACTCCTGGGTTCTATCCCTGGCTCTGGGAGGGGAGAGGGGTCTGGGGTGGGGGTTAGAGCAGTGGGGGCTGGGAGCCAGGACTCCTGGGTTCTATCCCTGGCTCTGGGAGGGGAGTGGGGTCTGGGGTGGGGGTTAGAGCAGCGGGGGCTGGGAGCCAGGACTCCTGGGTTCTATCCCTGGCTCTGGGAGGGGAGTGGAGTCTGGGGGATTTAGAGCAGCAGGAGCTGGGAGCCAGGACTCCTGGGTTCTATCCCTGGCTCTGGGAGGGGAGTGGAGTCTGGGGGATTTAGAGCAGCAGGGGCTGGGAGCCAGGACTCCTGGGTTCTATCCCTGGCTCTGGGAGGGGAGTGGAGTCTGGGGGATTTAGAGCAGCAGGGGCTGGGAGCCAGGACTCCTGGGTTCTATCCCTGGCTCTGGGAGGGGAGTGGAGTCTGGGGGATTTAGAGCAGCGGGAGCTGGGAGCCAGGACTCCTGGGTTCTATCCCTGGCTCTGGGAGGGGAGTGGAGTCTGGGGGATTTAGAGCAGCGGGGGCTGGGAGCCAGGACTCCTGGGTTCTATCCCTGGCTCTGGGAGGGGAGTGGAGTCTGGGGGATTTAGAGCAGCGGGGGCTGGGAGCCAGGACTCCTGGGTTCTATCCCTGGCTCTGGGATGTGGAACACCAAGATCCATGTTTTTCACTGGGGGCTAGATGCAGCCTCTGCCCCCGTATAGCCAGCAGTCTCGCAGCACCTGTGCCGAGGGGACCCTGGCGTCCTGCCTGTGGGCGATGGGGACAAGGTGGGGTGGAGGCCGGGCTGCTGGAGAACGGGCACCAGGGAGGAGAGACAGACCCCGGCATTCCCCCATCGGATGGGACGGTGCTCCCTCCCCACCCCCTTCGCCCCCCAGCACAGCCCCAGGGCCCCGCAGACACAGGCAGGAGCTGGGGCTGTGCAGCCCACTCCCCCCCCCCCCGCTTCTCCAGACGTAATCGGACACCCCCCGCCCCCCAAGTCCTGCCCACCCCTCGCCCAGGCCTTTGTTTATCTATTGTGAGTACGTGTCAAAACCCATCCAGTCACAGGGCTGCGGTGGCCCCGTCCTGACCCCCCATCCCCCCCATCCCCGTGGGGCCCCATCTCCACCGCAGAGCTCCCCCTCCCCCGTCACCACTGCCCCCTGCAACCCCCCCATGCAGGGCCTCCCCCCCTGCAATCCTCCCCTGCAGTGCCCCCCCACACGACAGAGCTCCCCCTCTCCCATCACCACTGCCCCCTGCAACCCCCCCCGCAGGGCCCCTCCCCCCTGCAAACCCCCTGCACTGCCCTTCCCCCATCACTGCCCCCTGCAACCCCCCCTGCAGTGCCCCTCCCCCACCACAGAGCTGCCCCTCCCCCATCACCACTGCCCCCTGCAACCCCCCCCCCGCAGGGCTCCATCTCCACTGCAGAGCTCCCCTCCCCCGTCACCACTGCCCCCCTGCAACCCCCCCTGCAGTGCCCCTCTCCCACCACAGAGCTCCCCCTCCCCCATCACCACTGCCCCCTGCAACCCCCCCGCAGGGCCCCTCCCCCCACCACAGAGCTCCCCCCGCAACCTCCCCCCCCGCAGGGCCCCTCCCCCCACCACAGAGCTCCCCCCGCAACACCCCTCCCCCTGCAATCCTCTCCTGCACTGCCCCTCCCCCATCACTGCCCCCTGCAACCCCCCCCTGCAGGGCCCCTCCCCCCACCACAGAGCTGCCCCTCCCCCATCACCACTGCCCCCTGCAACCCCCCCCCCGCAGGGCCCCATCTCCACTACAGAGCTCCCCCTCCCCCATCACCACTGCCCCCTGCAACCCCCCCCCGCAGGGCCCCTCCCCCACCACAGAGCTCCCCCTCCCCCATCACCACTGCCCCCCTGCAACCCCCCCATGCAGGGCCTCCCCCCTGTAATCCTCCTCTGCAGGGCCCCTCCCCCACCACAGAGCTCCCCCTCCCCCATCACCACTGCCCCCTGCAACCCCCCCCTGCAATCCTCCCCTGCAGTGCCCTCCCACACGACAGAGCTCCCCCTCTCCCATCACCACTGCCCCCTGCAACCCCCCCCGCAGGGCCCCTCCCCCCATCACAGAGCTCCCTCCTCCTCTGCCCCCTGCAACCCCCCCCCGGAACCAGCCTCCCCAACCCACCACACCAAGTGCCCCCCTCCCCTGCTCCCACCTCCTACAAACAGCCGTGGCTCCCCCTCTACCCGACACCTCACAGAGCACCCCCCAGGGACCCCACCCCTCAGCCCCAGTCAGCAGAGGGGCTGCAGCTCCGCTGGGCCCGCAGCAGCCCCCTGCCCCCACCCCTCTGCCCCTGGGAGGGCACAGCACCTCGGCACCCTGCCCCCGGCAGAGCCACTAGGGGGCGCTGCTTAATGGGGCACAACAACCCCACCCCACCCCACCCCACCCCAGGCTACAGAGCCCCTCCCCCAGGGGCCAAGAGGGGAAAACGGAGACAAGTCCCCCCCTCCCCCTCACCAGGGGAGCCCATCTGTACTGGGCGGGGGTCGGCAGTGTGGGGGGGGGGATGAGGGGTCTGCTTTGGGGCAGCCCATCTCCTCCGGAGGGGGGGAAACACGGGGGGGGAGGGGGGAAAGACTCCTGGGCCTCCCAGCTCAGCCGGTGCCTGGCTCCCATCACTGGCCGGCCCCCGTCTCCCATCGTGGGGTGGGGGGGCTGCCCCACATGAGCTTGGCCCACGGCTGCTGACTCCAGACCCCACCCCCCTCCTCCTGCTGCCTTTGATGCTGCCAGACAGTGACTCATCCCGGAAAGGGGGGGTCCGGCGCAGAGCCAGGGGAGGGGAGGGGGGCACCCGGAGCCAGCTGCTCACAGGGAGAGTGGCCTCCGCCCCGCCCCAAGGCACCCCAGGGGTGCTCCCCCAGTGCCAGCCCCCTTCCTCCCCTCACCCCCCATCCCGCTCTCGGCCCCCTGCCCTCCCGGCTCCCAGGGGCCTCGACCCCCGACCCTGAGAGCCAATCACAAGAGCCCAGGGCAAGCAAGCAAGAGGCCAGGCCCCCGCGCTGCTCCTGGCCCGAGGCCCCCGCGGTGCCCGGCTGCGCAACGGAGCCCCCCTGCACTCAACACCGCTGTCGCTCCTCCCGCTGGCAGCCGCCCTCCCTTCCCCCCCAACTATACCCTGAACCCCCCCGTCCAGACCTCCCCAGCAGGTCTCCTGGTTTGGGGGGCACCGGTGGGGTAGCTGGGCGCCCAGACTCCTGGGTTGTCTCCCAGCTCTGGGTGGGGAGTAGAGTTTAGTGGGTTAGAGCAGGGGTGGGGCTGGGAGCCCGGACGCCTGGGTTCTCTCCCTGATTCTGTGAGAGGAGTAGAGTCTAGTGGGTTAGAACAGGGGGGAGGGAGCCAGGACTCCTGGGTTCTCTCCCCGGCTCTGGGAGTGGAGTGGGGGCTGGTGGGTGAGAACAGGGGGGGCTGGGAGCCCGGACGCCTGGGTTCTCTCCCCGATTCTGTGAGAGGAGTAGAGTCTAGTGGGTTAGAACAGGGGGGAGGGAGCCAGGACTCCTGGGTTCTCTCCCCGGCTCTGGGAGTGGAGTGGGGGCTGGTGGGTGAGAACAGGGGGAGCTGGGATCCAGGACGCCTGGGTTCTCTCCCTGATTCTGTGAGAGGAGTAGAGTCTAGTGGGTTAGAACAGGGGGGAGGGAGCCAGGACTCCTAGGATCTATCCCCAGATCTGGGAGGGGAGTGGGGTCTAGTGGTTGGGGGGGGCTGGGCTCCCGGACTCCTGCGTTCTCTGCCCTCCCGGTGCGGGGAGCCCCCTCACCTGCAGCCGCCCATCCAGGGTGCGCTGGATGGTGACGCACTTGCTGGGGTGGGCGCCGTTGGTGGTGATGGCCGTGATGAGCGAGTCCAGCTCGTCCTTCTTCTCCTTCAGCTTCTTCACCAGGCTCTCGATCGCCCGCTTGGCGAAGGTCTCGTTCTCCCCGCCCTGCCGGTGGCACATCAGGCTGTGGACGATGCTCAGGCAGGCGTCGTTGCTGGTGGGGGCGTTCAGGGACATGGTGCCGCTCGGCCTGCAGAGACAGGGCAGGCGTCACCCCCCGGGCCCACCACCGCCCGGCTCCGGGAGGGGAGGGGGACCGAGTGGTTGGAGCAGCGGCCTGGGCGCCAGGACCACCAGGTAACATGCCAGTCTCAGCAGGCAGCCCCCCGACCCCACGGGCCCTGCCAGATACACACCCGAGCCTTCCGGAGACACGGCTGGGCCCAAGCCCCTGCCCGGGTCAGGCTACTGCAGTGCCAGCTCCCAGCAAGGTCCGGAGAGGGCCCCGGGCCCCGAGGATGGGGGGAAAGGCTCCTAGCAGAGCCAGGAAACAGCCCCGCTCGTCTGCTGAGCTTCAGCTCCCAGCGCCCCGGCTCTAGTGGGTAGAGGGGGAGGCTGGAGAATCAGGACTCCTGGGTTCCACTCCCAGCTCTGCCTCACCGGGCCGCCCGAGCCCCTCAGTGCTGGAGCCTCCGGCCATGGCTGCCCTGTGCAGACCCTGCGGCTCCGCCCCCCCAGACAGAACGAGGGACACGCAACCCTCCCCGGGACCCTCCCCGACGCCCCAGGTAACTGCAGCGCCAGGGATCGGCTGCCTGATGTCCATCAACCGACTCCCAGCCCTGGGAGAGGGACGCAGGGAACTCGGGCAAAGGGGGCTTCCCAGCCCTGCCACAGCCCCATCCCACCAATGACCTTGGGCCCATCGCTGCACCTCTCTGGGGCTCAGTTTCCCCATAATGCTCCTTCTGTTCTCCCTCCCTGTATCTATTCACACTGCCAGCTCTTCTCGGCAGGGAAGGTCTCACTCTGAGCCAGCGCCATGCCCAGCCTGACCCCCCCGATCCTGGCGTGGGGTTGTGTGGTGCCTGGCCTGGGCCCCCGATCCCAGTGCAGGGTCTGCCCAGCACCCAGCCTGGCCTGGGCCCCCGATCCCAGTGCAGGGTCTGCCCAGCACCCAGCCTGGCCAGGGGCCCCCGATCCCAGTGCAGGGTCTGCCCAGCACCCAGCCTGGCCAGGGGCCCCGATCCCAGTGCAGGGTCTGCCCAGCACCCAGCCTGGCCTGGGCCCCTGATCCCAGTGCAGGGTCAGCCCAGCACCCAGCCTGGCCAGGGCCCCGATCCCAGTGCAGTCGCCCAGCACCCAGCCTGGCCAGGGGCCCCGATCCCAGTGCAGGGTCTGCCCAGCACCCAGCCTGGCCAGGGGCCCCGATCCCAGTGCAGGGTCTGCCCAGCACCCAGCCTGGCCTGGGCCCCGATCCCAGTGCAGGGTCTGCCCAGCACCCAGCCTGGCCAGGGGCCCCGATCCCAGTGCAGGGTCTGCCCAGCACCCAGCCTGGCCTGGGCCCCCGATCCCAGTGCAGGGTCTGCCCAGCACCCAGCCTGGCCTGGGCCCCCGATCCCAGTGCAGGGTCTGCCCAGCACCCAGCCTGGCCAGGGGCCCCGATCCCAGTGCAGGGTCTGCATAGTGCCCAGCCTGGCTTGGTGGCCCGACCCCGGCCCAGGGTCTGTGTGGTGCCCGGCCTAGGCGGGGCCCCCAAGACATTGCAGCCAGACAGATAACCATGAGCTGCGCTGGTGCTGGACGGCCACAGACAGACCCACGGATGGACAGGCCAACCTGCAGCAAAGCTAACCCCGGAGGCTGCAGACCAGCACAGTGCCCAGGCATCACACTGAGCCCACGCTGGATCCTGCCTCTGGGGATGGAGCACCGGAGAGGCTGGATTTGCTGGGGCCCAGGAGAGTTCTCTGGCCCCGGCTCTCAGGAAAGGCTGTAAAGAATTAGGGAAAACAGGAGCAACCAGCCCCTCCTCACCAGTGCATCCAGCTCCGCAGGGAGACGCCGAGACGGGAATTAACCACATTAAAAGGGAGACTGGGTCTGCGGGGAAGGTCATGGGCGGGTCAGAGCTCACACAGCCTGATGGAGCGGATGGGGGGGCGTCCCCCTACACAGGGATCGCACAGGGCGGGGGATCGGGTGTGTCCCAGCACTAGAGGATTGGCCCCGGCACCCACAGACAGACGGCCACGTACAGGGCTTGTCAGAGCATTTCCGGCACAGTGTGCCATGCAGTGGTTAGAGCAGGGGGCTAAGAGCTAGGACTCCTGGGTTCTCTGCCCAGCTGTGGGAGAAGAGTGGGGTCTAGTGGTTAGAGCAGCATGGGTGGGGGGCACTGGGAGCCCAGACTCCTGGGTTCTATTCCCAGCTAGAGGGTGTGAGGCCTGTCCTTGTCCTGTCATGCAGAGGGCTCCCCACTGCTCTCGAGTGCTGGGCTGGGCACCCTGTGGGCACAAGGGGAACAGGGCAGAGAACCAGCCTGGCTGTGTGCGTGGCCAGGAGCATCTGGCCCTGCTGGGGGAAGTGGAGAGCACAAGGGTGCCCTGAACTAGGCAGAGCCCCCTGCATTTCAATCCTGTGTCTTCCCTAACGAAGCAACGGCCTCGTTTCTCTGGGACACCGACTGGAGTGGGGGTGTCTCATCCCGTCCCAGCTCCATGCGCTCACTTGGGACCCCGTCGTGGGCGGAACGGGGGGTTCCGCAATCATCCCGGGACAGCAGCCAGAGCTCTGCTCCTCGGGGGCAGGACGGGGCCCCAGTTCTGCTGGTCACAAACGGGCCAAGCCCTGACGGGAAACCCGCCCCCCCCATCCCCCCGGCAGCCATGCTCCGACGCCGGCTGCGCCGGGAAATCGCTCACCTCGGGCCGGAGTCGGCTCTGCCAAGCCCACCGCAGAACCCGTGCCGGGTGCGAACGTGTGTGCGGTGCATGGAGCTGCTCGGCCGGGGGGAGGGCTGCGGGCGGGTGCAGACTAAACACAGTGAGCGGGGCCGGGGTGGGGGGAACGCGCTCGTTAACCCGTCACTCGCTCACTCCCGCCGGGCTCTCCCCCCCTATTTCTATTCTATTTGTCAGATGGGAATTTAAGCAGAAACCCCCCCCCACGAAAAAAATCTCCCATTCCCAGCCCCTCTCCCGTCTGATAGACACACAGGGCTGGGAGTCGAGGTGGCCCAGCTGGACCCCTCCCCCCGGCTAACACAATCCCAGGGAAACAGAGGAACCCAGAGTGGGAAGACCCCCTCCCCCCCCAGCACAGCCACAGTCCAAGGGGACGGGTCTGGGGTTCCCAGGAGGCCCATTGAGGGAGAGGGGGGAAGGGCTCATTCATTCACTTGCCTGCACTGTCTGAGACACCTTCTCCCCGCACGGGACGCTCCCCCAGTGCCCGTCACACGTCCCCGGCCAGCTGGGCTGCTGAGGGCAGGGGGACGCCGGGGTCTGCGCTGATCCTGCCCAGCTCACGCAGGAGTCAAGGGCACAGACAGGCTGGCCTCCCCCACATCATCCATGCGCACCGGGAGCAAATCACACCCCCCTGAGACGCTGCATGGGCCCGGCAGCTGTGGTCCTGAGCCCTCAGACCCTCCCCAGCCTGGCGTAGGGTGGGCAACACAACAAAACAACACAAGGCCGGCTGGGCTGGGACCTGCAGACTGGAGTCTGAGTCCTGCTCTGCCACACACTCCCTGCATGGCCCTGGGCCACTCACTTAACCTCGCTGCGCCTCAGTTTCCCACCTGTTCTGTTCCACCTTCCCGGGTTGTACACTCATTGGCTGGGGGGCCATGTCTTGCTGTCGCTCTCTACTGCCCAGAAGCGGGCCCTGATCTTCGCCGGGGCGTCCCCCGCCCAGCACACACCACGCCATGCGTGTCCACAGCCTGATGGGTCCTGCCTATCCCCAGGTTTCACCTCACTTAGAAAAGGGGGGTGCTTACAAAATCCGGCATCAAAACACAGAAGTGGCACAGAGCGCTATGGCTGCACACTTGCTGACGGTCTCATGTACCACAGAGTTATAACATGAATCCCCGGGGACAGAAATCTTGTACTTACACTTCAGCGCACAGAGCCGTCTAAACAAGTCATGGTCTGTATGAAAGTTTAGCTTGTACTAACTTTGCTAGTGCTGTTCACGTAGCCTGTTGTGAAACCAGGCAAATCTCCAGCTGAGCTGACGTACCCCCTGGCAGATCCCGGCCTGCCCCAGGGGTACGTTTACCCGGGTTGAGAACCGCTGCCTTAAGCAAAGGGGTTTTGGAGCACTCAAGGGGCTGCTATAATTATTAATTATTCCCACTACAGAAGCCCCAAGAGCGGGGTCCTCGCGTGCCATGTCCCAGCCCTGAGGATTTACAGTCTAGTCCAGCTGAATCGAATCCATTTCCCTTGGGCGTCCATATTCCAGCCAGAAAGACACCCCCCACCCCAATATGCTCTGGAAATGCTTCCCCTGCCAACGTAATGCAGTCACCTCTCGGGAGGTGCAGCCGCCGCTCGGAACAGCCCACAGTCAGGGCAGGGAGGGACAGGGGAATGCAGTGGTTTTAGAGGGAATCCAGGGTGGGGGGAGAGGTCACACCCCAAGCATTTGGGACAAGGGCCTTGGGATCCTTTGCGACCGCGGAGGATCAGAACCTGGGTTTCCATCTGATCCGAGACACTGATGGGCAGGGAGAGAAGACCTCAGATGGAAACATCTCTTCACTGACCCGCCTCCCGCCAGGCCTCCGGAAGCCCCCACCTGAGTCTAGCCACCTGCTGCGCATGGGCCCACAGGGCCAGGAGGGACTGAGACGGGTGGGGGGCTCCTCACAGCTCTGCACCCTGGAGGAAGAGACTCCCCCACCTTCCCGGGCCTGGAGTCAGGAGGAAGCTAGCCCGGGGTGTGCAGTCAGAGTTGCCTGTAACACTCCAGCCCGGGCTGGTGCGTAACCCGCGGTGCCCCCTCCTGGAGGCGGAGAGCCTTACCCGGATCTAGGCGTCCCCACTGCCAATCAGGAGCGGTGCCCCTATAAGCAACAGGGTGATGCCAGTTTGACACCAACGGGACAGGTGAATTAAGGCTAAAAGTCCCCCCTTCCCCCAGGCATTGCACAGGGCCAGGCTGGGGAGAAAGGCCTGCAAACTACACAGCTTCTCAGAGAGGGGTTCCATGGGGTTCCCCCCACAGCTCCCCAGTCTCTCCCCATCTGCACCCCTTTAACTGGCTCCTCCAGGCAGCCCAGCCCAGCCAGCCGACGTTCGCCGGCTGCCACGGCACGAGCCAGGGGCTGTGAAGGGGTTAATGCCTGGTGCTGGACAAACAAGGAGATGACTAAAGGCAGGGCTGACCCGCTGACCCGGGGAGCGAGAGCGAGGTTCCTTTGCCCCTTGGGTCCACTGCAGCTGCCAGGGCCCTGATCTGGCCAGCGGAGCCCCTGGGAGGGGTGATGCAGAGAGCCTGGGATCCCGGCCTCATTCGGCCACCGCTTCACCAGCACCACGGCAGAGCATCCCCAGCGGAGTGAGAACCTCGTTCCAGGGGCAGGCTGCCATCCCGCCATTTCACAGACAGGGAACGGAGGCTCAGAGACGGGCCATGCCCAAGGGCAGAGGAAGCCTGTGGAAGAGCCCGGGAGAGAACCCAGGAGTCCGGCTGCTGGGCCCAACCACCCAGGGCCTGGGGGAAGAGAATATCAACCACGTGGCTTGAACCGTCCCTCCGGAGCAGATTGCTCGACTCAGCCGATACTTACCGGCCCCAATCCCAACCGCAGACGCCAGGCAGTAGACGCAGCTCCTTCAGGGGAGATGTGAGACTCGCCCCCCTGAATCGAGGCTGGGGGTGCAGTGGGGCCGGTGCGGGCTCAGCTTGCAGGGCGCGTCCCTGCCCGACGGGACGCGGGCAAGACGCAGAGGACGAAAGGGGGGAAGGGGGGAGAGAGGGTCCGGAGGGAACACGTGTCAGTGTGCGCGGGGGGATCATACCCCTGGTCCCGGGGGGCGGGTTCTGGGCCCCGAGCCGCCGTGGGGCATGTGGCACACGCCCTGCATAGGAGGCTCTTGGGCTGCTTAGCCCCGGGAATGCCACAGTGAGGGGTTTCCTGGGGAGTGTAGCTCAGCCACGCAGCACACAGCCCTGCCGCGCCAAGAGAGGGGGGAGTGTCTGGGTGCCGGGGGCCCCTCAGCGTCCGTGGCTCCAGACCCAGCCCAGCGGCCCCAGACACTCCCCAAAAGGAGTTTTGTTATTGTTCCGAGGCCGCCCTGCAGCTCTGAGTCACGGGTGGCGCGACGCACCCAGGCCCCGCTCCAGGCCCTGGGAAAATCCTTGGCCACGCAGCAGACATAACAAAACTTTAACCCTCGCTCGGCTCGACTTGTCCGAGACGGGAGCCGAAGTGTCCCAGCTCTCCCTCCCCCGGCCCCCCGCAGCTACTGAGGGCCCCCCGCACCCTAGCGCTACAAGTTCAGCTGGGCTGTTGTCAGCGGCTGGACTCCAGCGGGGTGCGCTGCTGGGTCCCACACCAAGGCTCGGGCCACCCCAGCTCCCAGCCAGGCTGCTGCGTGGGCTAAGGGACAAGCAGGAAAAGAAGCCCAATCTCTGCCACCGATCGGCTGCACAGCCTCAGGCCGGTCACGCCCCCCCCCCCCGTTGTGCCTCAGTTTCCCCATCATCTAACCCCAGCCTAAGAACCACCTGGTCTCGAGCAAGCCCCAAGGTGCTGGCACCTCAGCGCTCGCCTGTCCCGCAAGAGGCGCACTCCGCACAAGCAGCAAGGCGAGCTGCGGGCATGCGGTCTCAGCCAGCCGGCACCCGCAGCCACCACAGGCTCCCGAGCGGTTTGTGGATCCATGCTTGGGGGGCTAGTCCCGAGGCGCTGGGGGGCGGGCGATGTGAGAGGGGGGCAGGGGAGGACTGCACACAAGCCAAGTGCTGCGTGGAGGGAAATGAAGCGATGTGCGGTGCCCTGAAGGAGCTCTGTAAAGCGGGGAGCCGACGCACCACAGGGCAGCACCCAGGGGCTACATCAGCACTGGCAGAGTCCTCCGACGGCACCAGGCCAGGGCTAAGTGCTGGCTCAGGCAAGAACTACCCAGGTTTCCCCCGCCTGGCACGGGGCAACCTCCGGAGCGCCAGCCCTCTCCGCTGCACTCTACCAGACCACGAACCTGCCGCTAAACTGCAGCCAGCCCCGGGGCAGACGGCATTCGCTGGGAGACGCAGCACCACGGGCTGGAAGGGGAAGAGAAAGAAAAATCTTGTACCCGGCTGCAGCTGCAAAGGGGCTGAGCAAGGCAGGATGGAATTTCTCCAGCAGGAAATAGGTTAGGGCACCGGGGCCAACCCCTCGCTTCTTGGGAGACGCGCTGGGGGATCCCGGACACGCAGCTCAACGAACCGAGCGACTGCTACCGGGCCCCACTCCTTGCACCGCCTTGGGCCAGGACTGCCTGCCAGGGGAGATCACCCCCGACCCAGCCCCCAACCCTCTCCCTGCACCCGCGAGGGGCCGGGTCAGCACAGATGGCTGGGGAGAGCGACCCCTACCAGCCCCCCCCCCCCCGCTCCCTGCAGCACAGCACAGCTCCCCCTGCTCCCTGGGGTCAGCGCCGGGGGAGGGGGGCACCACCCACCCAGCTCCCTGCAGCTCCCTTACGGGGACCCGAATCTCAGTGTGGGACAGGGCGTTAGAACAGCCTGGGCTCAGTGAGGGGGCCCCACGCTCTGATCCCATGGGCCCCGGCATTCAGAGCATCCCCCGAGTTGCCATGCTACGGCCCGCACGCCCCCCTGCGGTGACTGATGGCCCCTTGCCCACCATCCCCTGCCCAGTCACCCATTGGGCTTCTGCCCACAAGTGATGCACCTGAGACAGTGCCCTGGGGGACCCCAGCTGTCGGCACTGCTCCAGGAAGGAGACGCTTCCCAGCTCCCCTCCTCGCCCAGCACCCTGCCAATGCAACTCCCCCATCCAGAGCTTCCACCCTAACCCCCCCAGCCCCAGCGAGCTGGGCCGTCCCTCCTGCTCTGCCAGCGAGCCTATGGTGGGGATTCGGGGAGGGGGACCCCCAGTTCTGACACAGCAGGAGGGACGTGAGCTAAGTCAGTGCCCAGCCATTCGCTAGCCACAGCCGCCCCTCATCTCCCTTCCACAAATGTGTAAACTGAGGCACAGAGCAGGGCAGGGACCTGTCAAGGCTGCAGAGCGAGGCCTTGTCTGCGCTGGGTAGTTCACCGGAAGAAGCTGCTCCGCGTGTGCTGGGGGGACGCTCCTGTTCCGGAACGGGGGGCCCTTTGTCGCTGCAGCGTGCTCCCCAGCGCGGACGAGCCAGCTGCAGCCTACACAGGCCGACACAGGGGCCTTGTCTAGATGGGGGATCAAGGGCAGCTACCCCCTCGGGTCTAATTAGCACCTTCTAAAACTCAGACAAAGCGGCTGGCCAGCAGCCCCCGTCGAGCTGCCCCAGTTAACCTGCGGGGGAGCCTCCCTGTGCCTCGGCCTCGGCCCACGCGGCTGGGACTCCGGCCTGGCCGAAGCCCGAGTCAGTGCCGGAGCCAGGGTCCCAACACAGGCATTTCCAGCCCCACTCTGACCTGACCACGGCCCAGCCCCAGGGGAGCAGGGGCACAGTGCAGATCCGACAGGACTGAGCCCTTCAGCCCTGCTCCCAGCGAGCCCAGGATGGGCCCCGAGGGCCGAGCTCCCATCCGCGGCTCCCCAGGCCAGGGCTCCGATGTCTCCGTGGGGAAGCTCCCGCTCGAGGGCCTTCTGCGCTCCGGCGCTGGGCTTTGTAAGAGACGCCGGCTTCTGCTGCAGACGCAGCCTTCGCCCAGGACCCGGCACCGCACTGTCAAGGGTTTGAACCTCACCCGCAGCGCTATTCCCTGCTCTCCGAGGGCACCCAGGCAAAGGGGCCCGGGCACCAGGGCTTTGCAAGCTGCCACTGCACATCAAGGAATCCTCTGGCCAGGGAGGCCAGGGTTGGCCCGGGCCCCAGCCCAGAGCAACAGCCCCGTCCGTCCCCAGCGTGACTGGCCGGTGCCCCGGGGTCCACAGCAGACACATTAGGCAGCAGAGCTCCTGTTTCGCCCCCATCAAAGTTTCCTGGCTGGATCCTGCCGTATCGATTGTCTGGAAGACGCCAGGTGAGAGCCCACCCCAACCGGGCAGGGAAGATCAGCCCGGAAAAGCAAAAATCCATGCTCAGGAGCGACTCGGAACCTGCCGAGCAAACGGCTGCCAGGCCAGCGGCCTGGCCAGCACCAGCTGCTCTCTCCCTGGGGGCCTATCTTGCCCCCCACTGGAACGAGCCCCTCGCACTCACTATGGCAGAGCCCCAAAGCATGGGGCAGATGAAGTGACTTCACCCAGCAGGGCAGCGGTGGGATCGAACCCAGGGCTCCCAATGCCAACTCCTGAGCCCTGATCACTGGGCCACATGCTTCGGAGACAGGAACTCCTGAGTCACGGGCTCACCCGCCCAGCGACCCTGCCCACCCGTTCGGGGCCGGTGGATTGACGCGTGGGTTTCTAGAGGTCATCGGCCAAGCTGCAGGTGCTCCCGTTAGCCACGTCAATGCCAGACCCCATCTGAATCCTGCTCAGCCCTCTGGCTTGGTGACACCATGTGGCAATGAGTTCCCCCGGCCCATCGTCCACTGGGTGAACATTAAAAGCTTCATGATTAGCTCCAGGGCTTGCTTCCGCAGAGATTTCCTTCAAATGACCGCAGCACTAGCTCCTTCCACGGCACGAGCTAGGTCAGATTTACACCAAACCCCGGCGATGGGGAGAGAATTGATCCCAGACAATGAGGGAATCCAAGAGGGACCTGCTGCTGCGCTCTGCCAGCCCCAGCTTCCCCATTGTATCCACTCCACACGTCTCATCACACTACCTCAGACGATGCTGGGATTATCCCCCTGTTTTACACATGGGGAAACCGAGGCACAAGCCTGTTCTGGCCAACCCCCCCCAAACGCTTTGCAATTGTAACAGTTTTCCAAGGAAGGGATTTTAAACAAAGAGTCCACCCATGAGCAGGAGCTGCCAGATCGGATCAGAACCGGGGCCCACCTAGCCCAGTATCCTGTCTCTGACCGCGGCAGAGAAAGGGGCCCGATCCCTGCAGTGATGGGATACCCAGCCCCCAGGGATCACAGCCTGACGCAGGACGGAAGGGGTGTTCCACGCACAACACCCCCAGTGAACCCCCTCCAAACCGCTCAGCCCCATCCCGGTCGGGTTTGCAAGTGGCAGCAGAGGGAGGGGGGCAGGTTCCCAGCCGGTCCTACCCTGCCCCAAAATATCAGAATGCCAGAGGATGGATCATCCCGGCCGGGGGCCAGGAAGGCCGACCCCGTAAACCATGCGCTCTCTGTGCCGGCCCCACAAGGGTGGGACCTCGGGTCCCGCGGCTGCCCTGGGCCAGGCATGGAGGAGAATCAGAACTCTGCGTTCAGCTGGGCCCGTCCCCCCCTCGCCCCGACAGGGACTGGACCCCCCAGCCCCAGCGTGACCCACAGGTCATGGCATTGCCGCACGGGGCTTTTGCCCTAGCTGAGGGGACTTGGCTCAGGGCTTTACACAAACCTGTCAGGGCTCATTCTCCCCCCCCACCAGGATATCAACACTGCAATGCAACCCCCCCCACCCCCCAGCTCGTCCCTCTGTCTCTGCCCAGACACACGGACCCTCCCTGCTCCCCCCCACAGCAGAAGGAAAACAACTGGCCAGGTCCTTCACCTGGGAGCCCTCTTGTTTACTGCTGTGACCCCCCCGGCCCCCCTTATCCTGTTGGCTCACTCCCAGCCGATCCCAAGGGCAAAGGGACAGGCACAGGGCTGGGGGGGATACCATGCAGCCCCCCAGTGTCTCAGGATGAGCTGGTGGTTCACACACACTCCAACCCCTGCAGGTCCTGTGGGGAGGGGGGGCAGGGAGGGGAAACCAAGACACCCCCACCTTTTTGAACAGTGAACCCTAATACCCTTCCCCAAGGGGGGCCCCCACACTTTATGCCTTGACTCACTTGAGGGGAGGGGAGGGGGACAGGGGGGGACAGCCTGTGGGGGGTGAACCAAGCTGCTCCTGACGCAGCTCAACTTCTGGAACTTTATGTGCCCCCCCTTTCCCCAAAGTGACCCAGACACCCTCCCGCCATGGGCCCCTGGCTACTTTGCCCCTCCCGGGAGTGGGGTCTGTCAGGTACCCGGTAGTGAAGCCTGCTGCCCTGTCCCTTTCCAGGGGGGTGGTGATAGGGGACAGGCTGGGCTCCAGCAGCCCGGGAAGTGGGTGTTTCCCCCTGGTTACAGGCAGTGAGCTGGCAGGAGGAGAGGACTTGGGACTGTCCCTAGGGT